TTTTCCAGTTTAGGGTATAGTGTCAATAAGACTTGTATTAGAGCACCTCCAACCCAAAGGGCAAGAGCAAGGGCAAGGCAAAGGTAAGGCAAGGTTTGTCACTATTCACGTGAATATGACAGCCCTTGTCTTTTTTGTTTCCACCCCAAAAGGCCCTTTTACTATTCACTTTAATTTATTTTCTATTTTTTATACTTCAACCATTAATTTTGATAAGCTTTTCGGATAAGATTTTTGATTACCATGTGTCACTATTTATTATAAAATTCTCACCTAAAATTTCAATAATATTTTCGGATAAAATTTTTGAATTAAATTTTCGGATAAGATTTTAAGTTGCCACGTGTCCATATTTTGTTATAATATTCATATCTCAATTTTCGGATAAGATTCTCGATTGCCACGTGTCGATATTTATTATAAAATTCTAATCTCATATTTCAGATAAGATTTTCACCCTCTAAAATTGCGCCACGTGTCATCTCTATCCTCTAAATCCCTCTATAAAACTACACGCTCAACTTATACCTCTCACACCATATCTTCTTTATCTTTTCATTTCTCATATTTTACAAAACACATTCTACTCTCAATGTCTAACCTAAGGAGGGTGTTGGAGACGCAACAGTGAGAAGATGAAGAAATCAGGTGCAGAAGTGTTGATGAAAATCATGAGTTAGATGAAGAGGAGGAAGAAGTTGTTTTAGCGATGTGTATGCTCAATCAATCAAGGCAACACCACTGCCTTCGTGCCCCGAGCGTGGACAGACATAGGCACTCTCGGGGTAAGAATCTTAGGGGTGGGCATTATTACCGAAAACCCGACCGAATCGGACCGTTTTTGGTGGTTTGTTTCAGTTTTTATAATTAAAAATGCATGAACCGGTAAAAAAAACTGGCCGAACCGGCCATGAATCGGGTTGAACCGATTTAATTTTCTCCAAACCAACGAAAATCGGACCAGACCGAACATTTTAAATTATATTATTTTAAAATGAATTAAAACATGTGGCAGCAGCTAATTCGTCCATTTTAAACCCAAGCCTACACCTTGCCACACTCGCTCAAACAAACCCTAACATTCCATTTCTTCAGCCGCTCCAAATATTTTTTCACTTCTCTCTCTCGATTAGATCTGCTGCCTCTGCCGCTCTCACTCAACCTCTCACTCAACCTCCTCTCACTCAAACAAACCCTAACCTAAGTTCTAACATTTCATTTCTTCAGCCGCTCCAAATTTTTTTTCACTTCTCTCTCTCGATCAGACAGATCTGATCTGCTGCCTCACTCTCTCACTTAACCTCCTCTCCCCAAAAACCAAATCCGTCGACTTCTTCTTTCAATCTCTCTGTCACTATCGTTCTCTCTCTCGCTCTCTCTCTTTCTCTCTCTCAGTCACTCGCAGGGTGGCTCTCTGTCACTCTCGCTCTCGCTCTCTCTCTCTCTCTCACTCTCAGTAACTCGCGCTCTCTCAATCAGTGTCGCTCTCTCTCTCTCTCTCTCTCACGGTCACTCTCGCTCTCTCTCAATTTTCCTCACTCGATTTTTCTGTCAATTTGAGCCGCAAATTCTCATGAATGAGTCTGACTATGTTGTGATTTTTATTATTTGTATTTATTTATTTTAGGGCCGAAAATTTATATTTATTTTATTTATTTTGTCTAACTATGTTGTGATTTTTTTTGTTGGACAGATTGATTTTGAAGGCTAAGGAAAGGATTGGCTTGCTGCTGGTTGTGTTTTTATTTCTGGTAATTTTCTATATTTTTTGGTTCAAGAATTTTTGGTGTATGTTATAAGATGTTTGTTCACTGTAATGAATAATGTCTGATAAAAGGAACTACTATCTGGCAATTTTCTTTTTATTTGATATTTTTTTGGGGACACTGCCCAGCAACCGAGTTTTATTATGTATTGCATTTTATGTACTGGTTATGTGCTACGTATATTACTATATTTAACATCTCAAAAAATTCAAGTGCTAGCTATACTAAACGAGTTTGCTAAAATTTCTCGGGTTATGTCTAACACAAGTTATAATCCTTACCTCTGTGTGTGTGTGTGTGTCTGCTTCTATACTAATCGAGTTTCCTAAAATAATGAAAGAAGAGAATGGAAACTTTTTCATTTGAAACAGAGTTCATTTTTTGTTCTCCACTAATGTTCCTTTGTGATATCATTATCTGTACAGAATTGATTTGCAGGCTAAGGAAAAAGGATTGGCTTGCTGGTTGTGTTTATTTCTCGTAAATTTTTATATTTTGGTTGTTCTTTTGGTTGTTGTCATGGAAATTTATTTGTTTTCATTTGGATTTTCTTTTAAACTTTGCAAATATGCAGATTGTGATTGAGATTACTCTCACAATCAGCTATGGTTTGTAATAATTATTGGATTATTTGGACATGAGTGGTGGTTGATAATTTTCTTAGGTTTTAAGTGTTTTTTTTTATATTTGAATGATGATAAACTTTAAATAGGAGAAACTGGAAAAACAGAATGGGCCTGGAAAACTGTTTTTTTATAATAAAAAATGGGCCTGGAAAACTTTTAAAAAAAAGAATGGGCCTGAAAAACTTTTTAAAAAACCTTCAATTCTTGCTTTTGTTGGGCCTCGGCATACATCCAAACCGAACCAACCCGACCCATTTAATTCGGGTATCGACTTAAGTCGAAAATGGGCTTAATAAACAGGTGTGCGGTTAAGGATTTGGGCCTGCCGACATGACCCGGTTCGGTGAACGGTTTGAGCCCATAACCGACCCAACCCGACCCGTGTGCAGCTCTAAAGAATCTCTTGGAAGATTACTTTATCCCAAATTCGTTATATCATATTTCTTATTTTCGAGAGAGATATAGAATGCAGCCCCATTTGTTCCAAAAAATTATGCATGATGTTTGCAATTACAACACATATTTCATTCAGAAGTACAATGCTGTTGGGGTTTTGGGTCTTCTTCCAGAGCAAAAACTTACAGTTGTTTTACGAATGCTTGCGTATGGGGCATCTGTAGACCATGTGGATGAGATTGTTAGGATGGGGAAATCAACTATCCTAGAGTGCTTGGTCAGATTCTGTGATGCAATAGAAAATCTTTACACTAGGGATTACCTCCGCAAACCTACGCCTAGGGACCTCCAAAGGCTTCTACGAAAAGCCAAAGCTCGAGATTTCCTAGGCATGATTGGAAGCATCGATTGCATGGCAGTGGAAGAATTGCTCAACTGCTTGGCAAGGAAATTATGGGAATAGAAAAGGCCAAAAAAGTATTATTCTAGAGGTCGTTGCATCATTCAACACTTGGGTTTGGCATGCATTTTCCAGAGTTGTCGGATCTCAAAATGACCTCAATGTGCTTGGTCAATCACTGGTATTCAACGATGTCTTGAGAGGTCATTCCCCCTAGATCACATATCGGATCAACAATACCGCATACTCGAGTGCGTACTACCTAGCGGGTGGAATTTATCCGAGGTGGACGACATTTCGTCAAAACAATTCTGAATCCCCAATTGGAGAAGGAAAAAAGCTTTGATGCATTTCAGGAAGGTTATAGGAAAGACGTGGAAAGGTGTTTTGGTATCTTGCAAGCTTGTTGGGCAATTATTAGGGGTGTTGCTCGTATGCTTGATGAGGAGGTGCTTCGGAGCATTATGATGACTTGCATCATCCTCCATAACATGATTGTAGAGGATGAGTATGATTATGATGCTCTAGAGGTGTTCGAACCCGATCCCATGAACACGGCATTGACAAGAATTTATGAAAGGCCTATGGGAGCAAATGGACAACCAATGGAGCACGAACTGTTGATTAGGGATGATCGATACAACAACCTTATGATTGACCGTTATCAAGAAATGCAATCTTTGTATGTTCACGAGAAACGTCAAGTTGACTTGATCGAGCACTTATGGGATATGAAAGGCAATCACGGTGGATGAAGTCAAGTTTAATGCTTTGTTTGGAATTATGCTTTGTTTTGTGTATGGTTTGTAATGAATTAAGGTCTGTTTTTAATTATGCTTTATTTTTTGTGTGGTTTGTAATGAATTAAGGTTTGTTTTGATATATGAAATGTTTTTAATAAATAGCTATATTATTTCTTTATTCAATAAAAGAGAAATAATACAACAAATTACACAAATGGAATTTAGTGAAGGATAAAAATATTTAGTGTGGAAAGTGAAAAATATTTGGAGGAGAAGAATTTTTATGAAAATTTGTTGTGAAAAGTGAAAAATATGGGTAGGTATTTATAGAAAAAAAAAAATTCATAGTTTTTTGGTTTTTTTTTTTTAAAATTTCGACCCGTTGGATTTCTAAGAAATCCATCATCGAAGCGTCCAGAAAGCACCACGTGGCTTCTTTCCATTAGTTTCTATCAGTCGCTTACATTAGCGTGACATTACGACTGACATCAGCAGCCTTCGGGGTAAAGCCCAGGCAATTCTTCCCACCCCTTGACCGGGCTAGACCTTGCACGCCGGAGGAGTTTTTTGGGTCTGGGCCCCTCCTTGCCTGCCTCCCCCCTTGCGGTGGAGGTGCTCTTATGACACTTGTACGTGTTATATCATACCATATTATAATTATTCAAAAAAGGACCCCATGAAAGATTAATATGATTGACTTCTTTAAATTATGTCAGTGTTGGTAATAAACCTTAGTGACTTTATTATCCTATTTCCTACTTACATCTCAGCTCAAACCTCAATAAAATGTTTGAGCTGATCCTTTTGCTTTTCCATTTGCTCTTCTTACATCCCCAACGGGT